TTCCTCAGGACTTCTTGCAACATTCTCAAAAATGTGATAATTTTCTAGGGACAAATCTGAGCTTTAATTGTCCTTCTGTTCCTTCTGAACTTTCATGACGCATGAGATGAGACATCTGCCAATTTTTTACTGACTCCATTTATTGGGCCTAGTAACAAAGAAATCAATCACCAGATGAGACTGTTAATTAATAAGAGAACAAATTAACTGTCTGGGTAATAGACATCTGTGCACTTCCAGCCCATGGAGACCCAGAGAAGTAAAGAAAGGGGGATGTTCTGTGTAACTACAGTATAATGGACAGGGTGTTACTATGCCCTGCCACTGTTTGACCTCAACTTCCACTCAAAGTTGTCGGACTCCCTTTGAAGCCCAAAGTTCATCCTGTCAACAAGTTTTTTGATCAGCAATCCACACGCTCCTGTGATCTCTGGCTGTTTCCAATTCCTACACTGCTGTAACAATGTGCCCGAGTGGATTCTATACGAGAATCTATCTCCTTTCTCCTTGTCGCCAAATCAATTCGCAGCCAAGGCACGCTGGAGAGAAAACAGCTTTGAAGTTGGACACAGACTGAGTGAAGAGAGAGAGTGTGAGAGCAGACCTAGCCTTGTGCTTTAGGAGCATCATCAACACAGATTCTTCCTGCCTGTTTGCCGTCACAGCCAGTCAAACATGACTCACACCTTTCACCTATAGCTAGCTGCTCTACAGAAGTAGTGGAACGAGTCAGTACCTTTGATCTGGCCTTGGAAACGTTTGTTGGTCTGAGATAACACTTTCCCATTTAGGACCAATCATCTAGGGGTCTCAGTGCAAGAAGGAACAGAGGGAGCCAGTACAGCATCCACAGTAGATTTTTTTCTGTCAACTGAGGGACTTTCTAATATGGATTCTATAAGACAAAGGGGTCTTCAAGCATACATCATCTTACATTGCTGCATCTCGTCATGATAGAAGATGTCTCGCCTACATCAACTGACATACATAGCCAAGGATTATCTGTACGTCTCTGACTTTGTATGTAACTATCACACGTCTTTCAGAGCAGAGAGTACTGAATACTGGTCACAGCCGTCCTTCACATGTAGAGTAATAGAGTAATAAATCACGAGCAGACCATAAATGGATTCAAAAGGGAGAAATAGAAACACAAAATAGAATGGAGCCCCATTGAAATTATACATCTTAGAATGTGTGGAGAGCATGGGACCAAGGTGTTCTCTGTCTCTGCGGGAGAAAAGCAGCTAATTACTGGCTGCTGACTGCAGCGGTCGATAGGCCCTAGTTCCCTGCAGGGCCGTATCCATTGGAAACTGGGCTGAGCTCGAGCTCGCTGCGGGAATGGGAGAAGTGATCACCCACCACCTCCCTGGAAAAGGTCTCGGTGGTATTTTGAGCCTCGGGGAGGGGGGCTTCGACAAGCCTCCACTCAAACTAATAAAAGCTCACAGGTACCCTGAACAACTCTGACAGATCCCTCTCCGGCAGAGAGAGAGACAGAGAGAAGGGCAGAAGGCAGCTCCACAGAAACTGGCGGACTGAGAGAGTGTACACAGAGACATTGACAGTCAGACAAACACATGAACATGAGGGCAGACAGACAGACATGCAAGCAGGCAGACAGACAGACATACAAACAGGCAGGCATGCAAGCAGGCAGAGAGGTCAACATGCACAACAGGGGCCACATTTCAACCATAATACACAGGAATCTCATTTACAATCTATTACAAACCGTATTACTGTCTCTATAATTGCCTCTAAGAATTTGACCTCGCCACAGTCATAAACTGTCGTGTGTGGCTCAATGGGCAAACGTGACAATGAAAAACTATTATTTGATTGGGGCGAGGGAGGAGAAGAAAAGGTGAGCCATGTCTTATGTCACAGTAACATACGTATGGAATGAGTCAGATTGTTCATCAGTGTCTTAACAATTTATTCACTAATGGCCTCATAATGACCCTCTCAGAAGAGGTGCCCTTTTTCCGACATTAATGAGATATTATTATAACGAGACAATAATGTACTATTTGTCTCCAGGCAAAGACATTTGATTCTATCATTAAAGTATGCGGCACGTAGCTGGGCTAATGGTGTGGCATTATCAAAACCAATCAATTTTGCCTCCATCATATTAATTTGTGGATGACCAAGATGTGTAACTTGTCAAACAACTGGAAACTGTTCGTTACACCAACAGTCTTGTTTTGTTGTTAGGTAGGCTGAAAAATACTGTAGTATGACTAATGTGAGTTAAGCACAATGGAGCAAGTAAGCAACCAGACTTTCTTATGCTCAAATCCTTGGTGGCGCTTATGCTGTTGTAGTTTTATCCAAGTACTTAACCTGCATTATTCCAGGAAATGAATAATTCAACACAACCACATTCTTATCCCTGATCCCCACATCAATATGAATAGGGCCAGGCAGACTAGCTCTACAATCAATATTTCATTCTGCCAGGAGCAGTAGCATACCCAGCCAGGCACCAGAGCCCCACAAACAGAAACAGCAGCCATATGCAACGCTGAGATGCTGCTCCAGACATCTTCTAGCCGGTTGGCCAAATTAGAGCAAGTTGGAAGCAAGTGGATCTATGGAATGATGAGGAAATTATTCCCATGGAGAAGGATCATATCATCTGAGATGTGCAAATCAACACAATAATGCTGACATTTGAAGCTTCAAAGCCATGGTCAGTGTTACTAAAGTTACTGTTCTGTCCTTGGGGAGGCCAATAGTGTTTCATAAGAATACGAGGATACAATTATGAGGAAGTGG